GGAGGGAGAGAGGGAGAGAGAGAGACTATAGGAGCAGTGTGCTTCATATGTTCTTTGTTTAATTGTACAGCGCATTGAGCACTTCTTTGTGGAAATGCGCTATATAACTTCAATTTATTATTATTATTATTTACAACAATATGCCTGCCTGCTGAGAATACTTTGTTGTCATTACCTATAAAGTCCCATTGTTTCTTTCCCCCCCCCTCCCAGCCCAATCACGTCTGGCCGTAACTGGGAGCAAGATATCTGGACTCTGTCTACGATGAACGCCGTCTACGCAATCGCCAAGGCTACCAACAATGTCAAGGTCAGGATTGTTGGAGTTGTAGAAACGTTGCATCATTAATGTCTTGAAATATTCATGGGACATGATGACATTGTGATATAATGGGGTGGGACAGGACGGGATGTATATGATTTGATATGAAGTTGAAGAAATTTAATTTTATTAGTTGTATTGCAGTGCATGCAAGAAAAAAAAGAGAGGTGAGAGTGTACAAGTCAATGATTGCAGTTTTTGTGATTTATTTGTTTGCTCTGGAAGGGAATTAATGGCATCCATGGTGTAGAGGTTAGGCTTTGTTGTTGCATGTAGAAGATATGAGTTTGATTCCTTTTTAGAGATGCTTTAAATGATAATAATGATAATAATTGCTTTTATATAGCAAATATCCATGCTCTACCGCTTGTTCTATGTGTTTTACAACTATTATCACCCTAGCAGACCCAAAGACACAACTCGGACACATTTTCAACTTTCTGGGAAGCATATATTGCAAGCTGCAGATGTCATGCACTCAAACACTTACAAACTTACAAGGTCTTTCCCTGTCTATAGATGGGTACCCATCCCACGTGGGTGAAGTGAAGAAAATTCATGTGAAGCGCCTTTCTCAAGGACACAACGCCTGACCCCTGACAAGATTCAAACCCTCAACCTTACACTTTCGAGTCTGAGAACCTAACTACTAAGCCACCAATGCAACTATAAAGTATTTCTATCTGTCTTCCGGAATGTTGTATCCTTGTCAGACTGGCATGGTAGAAGCAAATGCTCCAAAGTTCCAAATTGATCTTAATTATGGTGGGTAGGGGGGGGGGAGGAGGAAGGAGGAGGGTGCGAGGATGTTAGAAGTGTAACAGTCATGTACAGTCATTATGTTTAACCACTTTTCTGAGGATTCCTATATTACCTGTTTGTATTTCTAAACCCTGCGTGATTGTTCTTTAGTGGGGGGGTTGGCGGTTGCTATGGTACTGTTTGCTTTCAAACATCTATGGTCCTTTCCTCTTTCTTTTCTTTACATGTTGCTCTCTAGTAACATCCAAATCTCCAGCTTTTATATGACCTATTTATGTTGAGAGTGCTGTAAAACTCTTGCTCAAAGTAAACGAATGTTCTTTCAGGTTTCGGTGTGTGGGCCGGGTGTTGCTCTGTGCCCGGGTTTCTTCACCCAAGACGATGTCCACAGCAAGATCATGGATGAGCTTGATCGAGAAAACTTCACAGACATTGCTGGAATGGCCTTCAAGTTCTTTGAGCGAGAGGCTGACCGGGGATACAAAATGTACAGATACAGACCTAACATTGCTCCTCAAGAAGAGGTAAGATGGTATACATGACCAAATGATGTTTATAGTGCCGAAAAATATATGTGTCACGACACGATGGAATCGGTGCTCACCTATATTTTGGTATATGGAGGTCCTGGTGAAGTTCGCACAAGGTGAAATGAAGAACATATTTTGCAATAATGTCATAAAATTTCAGAAATACCCAAGTCTCCATCTACTTTTTGCTTTTCTGTTCTTATTTTCAACAGTGATGATGATGCTGGCAATAGTGATGACGATAATAATAGTAATACATGTAGTGGTATAATGATACTTATACCACTTTTACTACTACAACCACTGCTACTACTTCTGGTAATAATAGGAATAATAATAAAAATGAAGATGATGATTATGACAATAGGAATAATAATAAAAATGATGATGATGATTATGACGATAATAATAATAATAAAAATAATAATGAAGATGATTGATGATTATGACAATAGAAATAATAATAAAAATAATGATGAAGATGATGATTATGACAATAGGAATAAAAAATTTAAAGGTGATGGTGACGATGATGATGATGACCATTATGACAATAACTTCTCCCACCTTCACAGGGCGTCCTGACCCGTACGACGGCCCTAAGTCTCTCTAACAGCCTGGCTCTTAAGGAGCTCTATGCCAGTCTGAGGTCGCAATGTCCTGGGGACTGTCTCACCTGCAAGACCTCGGCCACGGACCTGCAGGATTTCACGCTCATCTCGGGGGATATTTACATTGTTGGTGAGTGGCGAAGGATTTTGGTGATTGTAATGATGATGGCGATAATAATAATAATAATAATAAGATGATGATGATGATGATGATAATGATGATGATGATAATGATAATAATATATTGATAATGTTGCTGCTGCAGCTACTGGTGATGATAATGATAAATGATAATAATGATAATAATAAGTTACGCATTTATTTGTCCCAGAAGGGCACTTTGGTTTACAATGGCAAACAAACATATACAAACATATATATATAATTTTAAATACATACAGACGTTACATGCATAAATACATACATAAATACACAATATTACGCAAATACAGAACCGTTTACAACCATGCCACTGTCGGTGGCCACCGTGCAGCGCCCTGTATTTTGAGCTGGGGTTGTCGTGCCTTGCTCAAGGACACATCCCAATGACCACCCATCTGATCCCCGTGTCACCGACACTTGCTTGACATTACTTGAGTCTAAACTCACTACTAACTTACTTAGCCACTGGAGCCCCCAATGATAATGATATTAATAATAATAATAATAATAATACT